AAATAATTAAATATTAAAAAAAGGATATTAGAAATTAGAATAAATATAAAATAGAGGGATTTTTGATTGAAAATGGTATTAATTCTGAAATTGATTTAGGGATTTGGGAAAGATTTAAAATATCAGAAAATATTAAGGAAAGTTTTATTATCTTTTCAAAAGTTTTTGATATTAATATCAATATAATATTCGATATATAAGTAAAATCATTTTTGAATCTCAATTTCGAAGATAATTAGTTTATTATTATAATTACTATATAATTAGATAATATATTATATTTTATTTTTATATTTTCAAATCATTATTTACTTTTTTTTTCAAAAAATGATCTTTATTATCAAAATCATATCATTTATTCCAGAAAATCAATTTGATTATATTAATAATAATATTATTATTATTAATCTCTTTCCCCTCTATTTTAGTAATGCTTTTTATTAGTCTAAGAATCTTATTATATTGCAATTTATTTTATTATTATTATCAAAGAAAGCTATCTCTCTCCCAAAGGATTTTTAAACCGATTTATAACCCGATGTTATTTTACTAAATTATACAATATAACAAAAACCTTTGAAAAATATATCAGATCTTATTCTTTAACAAATTCGGATTGAAACTATTAAAAACTGTAATCGAATAAATACTAAATATACTAAAAACTATCAAATCAACATTTTTGTTATTAGGAATATTGTAATATTAATTATAACAAAAGGAACAAGGATAAATACTAATAATAAGAAATTGTTTATATATATTATTGTTTAGGAATATTTCTATAAATATTATATTCAAATAGAATATAGAATTCTTATTCAATTAATATCTATTCGAAAACTAAATGAGGTTTCTTTTTCGATTGTTAATAATATTAAGATTTTTATTAATATAATAACAAAAAAACCTTAATAGCAATGAGAATATTTATATTATATAAATATAAGATCAAATATTATAATAATCGATACAATTATTTCAAGAATAAACAAAAATACTTGGTTTATTGTTATACAAATAATGATTTTGATTATAGCTATCTTACTAATTTAATTTTGTATATTGAAAAAGTATTTCTAACAAAAGAAAAGGATATTGGAATAGTTAATAATAAAAATGATAATAATATAATTGAGAATAAAAATGATAATAAGATTGATAATAACTCTATACCTATTTGTAGAAATAAACACTAACAAATGAATATTATAGGAAAATTAATTTAATATATATATACTAATTTATTATACAATATACTAACTTATTACATAATACCCTTAAGTTGATTTTGGAAAAAATAGGATATTCCGAAATGCCCTGATTCATTTCGGATCATTCTTATGAATTGTATAAGCTAGTTTATTCCGAAATGAATTAGTTTATTCTGAAACCTAGCTTATTTAGCAATAAGCTAAGTGCATTTCACAATAGGGATATTGAGCTATAGCCCGGAACATATATCATTATATGAAATTCAGAACTAAAGAGTGACGTTATTGTGACAGTGAGGTTGAGGTTGAGGTTGTACTCGAGTAATACAAAGATATGTAAGAAGCAGGGTCGAGTTGGTCGAGTTGTAGATAATCCGGGTAAAATAGATCGCCGGAAGTAGTTCCGAAGGCTGAGAACAGGGGCTCGGCAGGACCCACTCGGCACGGCTCTTGCAATTAGCTGTTATATACTCGAGTAGATCTTTTTAGATTTAGACTTCTACTTCAAGATATCTATTACTGGAGTACTAGATGAACGCATCGCTGTCATGATGGCGCAGTTCTAGGTAAATATAAATATAAATATAAACAAACATAGCTTCAATTGAAACCCTCCTCCTTTTCTAGAGATTACTCGGACATAACCTATTAGGAATATAAAGTACCAACGGCAAAGAATCGGAAAATTTCAGCCCCCGTTTATCGTTATGTCCCTGCGATTTACTCTTACTAACCAATAAACACCAATATTAGCCTCTCTTTTACCCGATTCGTAAATTAACCCTGTATTCAGCGCGCCACCAAAATCCCAATTCATGGCCTACGGCGAAGAATATGCACCATTTCTGTCGAAACGGGCACTTTTAAAAAACCATGGAGCAGCCCCTCGACCGTTTTACTTCAACATCATTTATTGTTGTTATCCGATTTCTCTTGGCATCAAAAGGTTGAATAGTCATGATGCAGGTGGGATGTTTGATTGAATGAAATGGGATGCGAGGGGATTGAGAAGAAGTCGAAGAAGATCCAGTTGTAATGGCGATTTTGAGTGTAATCACTGAAGGTTTGAGGCTGGAGTTCAAGAGAGGATTGGTATGGTTCCACCGGATGTTTTACATTTTTTTCACTGGAAAATTGGGATTCGCTAACATTTCGATTGTTCTTTGGGTCTGTAGAATCAGAGTTCTGATCCAAGAGTCGGTTCTTCGAGAGATAATTCTACGAGTTCGAGCTTAGCTGCTGCAGCATCAGGGTCAAATTCCTCGTCATTCTCAGCACTGTTTTCCACTCTAGTTCCTGTGGGCATCTTTGCTGCAGTTTGTACCATTTCTTTCTTGGTGCTCCGGAGAAAGTATCCTAGGGTATATGCACCAAGGACTTTCCTGAGTAGTTTAGAACCTCAGTATGTTGGATGGCCCAAATGAACAGATGTGAAACTGACCATGAGACAGTGAACGAAGTGTGGAATTGCCATCCGGATGGTTTAATTGGGTGAAACCTTTTTTCAATACTCCAGATGAGGCAGTACTCAATCAGTCTTCGCTCGATGGGTACCTATTCCTTAGATTCCTCAAGATTATGTGCGTGATATGTCTTGTAGGATGTTGTCTCGTGTTTCCAATATTGATACCATTGCATGTACTTGGAGGTGCGGGTAATGAGCAGCTTGACCAGTTGACTTTTGGAAATGTTACCGATCCGAGAGTTTATTACGTGCATGCTTTCTTGGCATGGCTATTTTTTGGTGAGCATGATTCTCTAAAAGCAAGGACTTAATTAATGGGTCATTAGGATTTATCTTGTATACCGTCTCGCGGGAGTGTGTGTACTATATCAACCTCCGTCAAGCTTACCTGCTGCATCCCTATTACGCTAAGCGTTTATCATCTAGGACTGTTCTTTTCACGTGCGTCCCTCAACAGAACCTGGAAGAAGCCAAACTACGAAAGATATTCGGTGACGCCGTCAAAAATGTCTGGATCCCCAGGGAAAGTGGAGAGTTGCAAGACTTAGTCGACGAAAGAAACCAAACTGCTTATCGACTCGAAAGGGCGGAGACTACATTAATCAAACTCGCCAACAAAGAAAGGAACAGGGCCCTGAAGCATGGTCATCCTGATCTTGAATCGAGCATCGGCATGAATTCTGTGCAAGATACAAAGCGTGAATCCGTAGGCACTGAGACTCGAAGGCCAAGCTTGGTTAGGAGTCCAGCTAATGCATTGCTCGGGGGTGTCGAGATCTCGGAAATTCCCATGTCACCTACAGACACACTGGTAGGGTCAAATCTTGGTCCGATTGATGGAAAGGAAAAAGAACCGATGGTTACTGAGATAGCGATGTCACAAGCAAATTCCCTGGATACCTCCGATGAACCTCCTGCCACTCCAAGTTTAAAATGGGGAGATAATGGTTATGGAATGTCCGGGCCTCCTCCTGGAGTGAGTGGATCAATTGCTTCACAATGGATTCCTCATAGCTGGAGACCAACCCATCGACCATTATCAAACTATGGAAGAAGTGTTGACACCATTAAATGGACTCGGAATCGACTCAAGGAAATTGCACCACAAATCAACAAATTACGAAGAATTCATCGACAAGGAAAAGTCAAGCCGTTACCCGCTGCATTCATCGAGTTTGATACACAAGTCAATGCACAATCTGCGTATCAAACACTCTCTCACCATCGAGCATTTCATATGACACCACATATCAATGGTATACGACCACACGAAATCGTATGGGAATCACTTCGGATGAAGTGGTGGGAGCGTATTATGAGGGGCTTTGCAATCCAAGGTTTTGTGACCTGCCTTGTCATCTTTTGGTCCATTCCTTGTGCATTAATTGGAATCATATCCAATATCAATTTCTTGACCTCCAAAGTCTTCTTTCTCGGCTGGATTAACAAGCTTCCGCCTTCAATTCTTGGCTTGATCACCGGCCTGTTACCAGCTGTATCTTTGACATTTCTCATGGCACTAGTTCCGGTCATTCTACGCAGCTGTGCTCGTCAAGCCGGGATCCCTTCTTACTCGATGATTGAACTCTATACGCAATCTACTTATTTCGTTTTCCAAGTTGTACAAGTGTTCCTCGTAACCACCATTACCTCTGCTGCATCCGCCGCATTCGAAAAGATCATTCAAGATCCCACTTCTGTGCGATCACTTCTTTCGCAAAATCTCCCCAAATCCTCGAATTTCTACCTCTCATATTTCATCCTTCAAGGCCTTGCCATGTCAGCCACGAGATTATTGCAATTGCCTGCTCTTATTCGTCATTTAATGTTTCAGAATGAGCAAAATCCTCGACTGATGATAAATAAATGGCATAGGCTTCGAATTGTGCACTGGGGAGCTATCTATCCCGTCTTTACGAATATGGGCGTGATAGCTATCACATATTCGCTGATTAGTCCATTGACTATCGTATTCGCGCTCATGGGTCTATATCTCATCTACCTTGTATCGAAATACAATCTACTCTACACATACTCCTCGGAAATATCCACACGCGGGCTATTATATCCTCATGCTCTCAAACAGCTACTCATGGGTGTATATCTTGCTGAGGTCTGTCTCATCGGTCTTTTCGGATTGAGAAGCGCGTTTGGACCATTGGTCATTATGCTTGGACTAACAATCTTCACTGCATTGATACACATCAGTCTGAACGAAGCACTGGGACCACTCCTTTGGAATCTTCCTCGAACTCTTGCGGTAGAAGAATTGTATCGCGGATTAGCATTCAACTCCGATCTCCAGACACCTCTGCCCTCTACAACCAAGCCTGAGGTAAATAGCAATGAAAATGGCGACCCATTTTTCCCAATGCAAACACCCCCACAATCTCAATCTCAACCAGAGGAATCTACGTACATAAATCATCGTATATCCACTATTCCCAATCCTCGCCCCACCATTGAGGAAGAAAACGAAAACGACCATGACTCGACTCAAGATTCCGACAACGAAGAACAAGAACACGACCCGAACCCCCAATCCCGGACCCACCCCAAAGAAATTGAAGGACTCCCCCACCTCTCCAAACTGACATTCACCTTCCTCCTCACCTCCCTGCGCTCCAAAGCAACCCCCCACCTCGAGACCCTCACTCCCTACCTCACCCTCCTCACCCCTCTCATCTCCCCCACCTACAACCCCTTACACCCCCCCAACTTCCTCATCAAATTCCTACACCCCGAAATCTTCTCCGACTACCACATCTTGCGCTCCTTAACCTCAGCATTACCAAACATGTCCTCCGGCTTTACATATACGGCCAAACAACACGAAGATGCGTATTTTGCGCCTTGTGTCACGAGGGGTAAAGATCCCAAATTGTGGATTCCGAGGGATAGGGCGGGGGTGAGTACGCAGGAGTGTGCGCATACGAGGAGGATTGCGGGAGTGCAGTGTGTGGATGAGGGGGTTGAGTTGAATGGGGTGGGGAGAGTGGTGGTAAGTGATTTGCAGGGGGAAAATTGTATTTGGGAGAGAGAGACAAAGTTTTAGGGTTTGAGGGTTGGGGTTTGTGGAGAAAAGGAGTAGAGGGTAAAATTGTAGGGAGGGGTTGGGTGGAATTGAGTGCAAGTGGAGAGGATTTTAATAATGATAATGATGATGATTAATACTCATGCGTGAGCCTGAGGGGGTACTTTGATTTTTGGGTAAAATAATGTGATATCAAATAGACAGATAATAAAGAGTACAAAGTCAATATGAATCTATACTCATTGAAAACGCAACTCATTTTGAGCGAATGACTTTTTGCCAGTCTACCAATATTGGCGCTACGCGTGGAACGAGAATAGTATAAAGGCTACGCCTCTAATTATAAATTCTACTTTCTTTTTATGTTTTTTATACTTCTATTATATATACTACTCTTCTATTCTTTTATTATAAATTATTGAAAATCATCAATATAATAATAAATCTGACTAACTAAGCATAATTGCTTATTTCTATAATTCAAGTTCTTCCTCTCTTCTTCAATTCTTAAAATCTATAACTTAATATCAAGAGATTCAAAAGCAACAAACCGTTTCTTATCAAGTGTATTCAAGTTATAACTTTTCAATATAGATTCTATTATTCAAGCTTTACTATATCTATGTTTTTATTAAAGATTTTATTATAGAATCTAAATAATACAAAAATAAAATGGATATTATTTTTATAATATCAGAATAATATAATTCACTTTTGGTGTTATAAGAGTAATTTATCGATTAAATAATCGTTATACTATCGCTACACAATCGCTGACCTCACCAAAACTCCACCCATCCCCTCTCATACCTCCCAACGCGGACGACCAGAAGCATCCCGTCTCGCCAACCACTTTGTCTTAAACATGACCATCCTCTCTCCCATTAAACACCTCTTCATATCCCCGAATCCCACCGGAATTTCACTAGACTCTCCTCTCGCCCTACATTCCAACATTATCCTCAATCGATCCGAATCTTCTTTATTCCTAACCTTATTCCCAAAATTCCCAGGCTGCTCTGCTTTTATCCAATTCCTAACCAATCCATGTTGTCTCCAAAGATACCAAAGCCATCTCACGTCCCGTGCTTCGCGTTGTTTCTCTTCCCATGTCATTTTTGAAAATTTCATGTATCTGTTCGTAACGCGTGGTGCGGACCAGTCTACGCCTAAATCATCTCCGCTAGGATAGTGTATTGGAGTGAGTTTAGGTCTGGGTTTTGGGTTGTATGCCTCGTCGTAAAATGTGGGTTTGTATTCAAATTCCCGCATGGGTGCAATGGTCATACATTCTCGGGCTAATGCTAAGAACGGAGGGTCCCAATAGTTTGGCAACGCAATTGGGACGCTTCTGTGTGGGTTTTAGCTGCAGTCTTGGTCCGATTTACTTGTATATGACGTCCTTACCCTTCAGGAAGTTCTCGGTCATTTGTGTGGATCCTCACACCCGGAATATCAATCCATGTTTCCACTTCGGGCGGGATGCATATTCTGAGTACGTTATCAAGGCTGCAATGGACGAATGAGATATCGGAAGGAAGCAGTTGGGGTGCGTAAATAGCTGAAGAAGACGTGCCGACGGATGTGGACGCATTTGAATGGATTGTGGGGTCCATGAAGGGGTCGGTGTTGATTAAGCGAGAGGGGTAATTGAGCGGTTGGCGAGCACTACCTAATGCATCCTGATGATCTAAGGATATGGAAATCTTGGATTCGGGTTGAATGGTAGCAGATTGTCTAGATGAGAATAGCGTAGGGAATTCAGCTAAAGAACCAAGATCGGGCGTAGCCTCGTTGGAACTGCTTGGAGTAAATTGTATCTCGGAATACTGTTCGTTAACCCTTTTAAGTTGTCTATTTCTAGGGGGTGTTCTCCTCTCTTCAGTTTGATTTTCTCGATTTTCTCGTCCATTCCCATTTCTCTGATCCAGACCTCTTTCAATTGCGCTCGAGTAGAGTAAAAATTGATACGCAGGCTTGGAGGTCACAGTTTGTCTATTTCTAGGGGGTGTTCTCCTCCCTTCGGTTTGATTTTCTCGATTTTCTCGTCCATTCCCATTTCTCTGATCCAGACCTCTTTTAATTGCGCTCGAGTAGAGAAAAAATTGACACGCAGAATTGGAGGTCACAGAAGAGAGGGGCATAGACGCTCCGGACGATGGAGGAGGAATCTCAACATACCAAACCATGCCTTCTTCTTCGAGAAAAAGCCCTAGAGCAGCCTTTTTGCACATTAGAACTGTAAGTAAATAGAAGCAGAATCAAAGTACAGTAAAGTAAAGCAAATCAAAGATAAAGAATCATCATAACATACAAGATAGACCTTAAAAAGCTCCCCCTTCCGAGTCGGAAACATATATTCCGAAGCAGAAGAACTACGTGCCACGGTTCCCAATTCTAGTTCTCGGGCTAGCGCATGCAGTTGAGAGCGCAGATTTTGGATTGACAGGGTCACCGGGTCAGAATTGGCTGCTATGTATTTGGCGTGGAAAGAGTATTGTTGCTGCGGATTGTATCTTTGGTTTGTGTATGGTCGTGGTTGTGCATAGCGCGGATAAAAGGGTTTAGCGTGGACTGATAGCGAGGAGGTTGTAGCTGATTTGTTGCCGGGGCTTGGATTGGTTGAGGACTGTGGGGTTCTCTGTAGTGGCCTTTTCTGTGGTATGAAACTCTTGGGTGAAGTTTTGTCGCTCATTGTGTGGGTTGAAGGGGTGGTTTGAAGTTGTGGTTTGCATGTATAAACAATGTGTGTAGATAGAATGCTTGTATAGTATACAGATAATGGATAGTGAGTGTATATAAGTTGGTATACTAAGGCTGCTTGATATGAATGGTTATGGAAATACTGGAAGAATGCTGATTATAAGTGAGTGGGATGGAAAAGGAAATGCTTGTGTTTTCGCTGTTGGGGATTAGAAATCTGTGGATAATTTGGAAGGTACAAAGGTGAGAACAAAAAGTTCATGGAAAAGTTGATGAAATTCCGGGAAGTCACGAAGGTACTTCATATTCCTGTATAGGGTATTCAATAGTCCAGACTGCCAGTGCAGTCCAACAATAAAAGATTCTTAATTCTTGAATATATTTCGAATATTCTTCTGTTTGAAAATATTGAATATGTCAAAAATATCGAAAATATCGAAACTTTTCCAATCGTTAGATTCATTTGAAATAACGAATTATTCAATTGTTTGAAATGATTCAATCGTTTTCAGAAAATCAAAACATTTGGAATATTAGAATCTTATCAATTGAACTATATACGTGATCTTGATCTCCCCTCCTCTTCTATTTTGCCTTATAGAATAGGATAAACTTATTAGTATCTAGGATTAGAAATGGAAAGGAATAATAGTTAAAAGATTCTTATGAAAGAATTAGAGAAGAATAGTTGAAAATAAGATTAGAAATGAATAGGAATAGTTTAAATTAGAATTAGAAGTAGAAAGAAGTGATTCAAAATGTATTAAAACAATAAAAATGCTTAAATCTATTACGATTTATTGTTTTTCTTTAGAGTTCTATTTATAGTGATAGTTGTATTAATATAATAAGATAGTACTAATAGTATTATAAAAAAGCGATAGGACTAAATTAAAAATTCGACTACCGGTATATGGTTCTTATCTGTCTAATTATATATAGTGTTAGAAAGTGATGCCCTATGGCGTGGTGGAAGTAGCAGTATTATTGACTATCTTAAGAAAGGTTGTACTATCCATCATGGAGAGAAGGAGGTGCACAGAGCGACCTCAACTATATGGTGGATGAATGCCTAAGGCATCCATCCGAGCTAGGGTAAGGTAGGGTAAGGTAAGGTAAGCAAGGGTGTAGAACACGTGACATATAACCTCAACTTTCAACATATAGTTTGAATTTATCAGTTTAAGTTTAAATTTTAGATTCATTTCACTTTTTTTCTTCTATTCTAGCTTTAAGGATAAAAAAGAACACGAAATTTCAAAGGTTAGGAGTAGAATAGGAAGCGTTTATTTTTCAGAGGCTAGAACTTGAAGCGGGATAGGAAAGGAAAGGAAGAGAAAGGAAGTACTGAGAAGGGGAAATGTTTTTCATTGGATTTATATCAACTTCTATCTCAAAAGAAAAAACCCCCCTCTCTCTATCCCCACAAAAAACCTTTCCCCTTCTTTTCTATCCTAGCTCTAAGGATAGGAAGAAGTGCGATGTTCCAGAGGTTACTAGTAGGAGCAGGATAGGAAGCCTTCATTTTTCAGAGGTTAGGAACGGGATAGGAGAGGAAAGGAAGAGAAAGGAAGTACTTAGGAGGGGAAATCAAGATCACTGGACTATAGTCTGGACTATTGGATACCCTATTCCTGTATATGATAAGGAGCAACACATTTCTTGTGATCAATGGGTAACATAAGCAATGGATTTTCTAGGAAGGGTTGATTGATGTGAAGGGGCTTCATATCAAGCGCCCTTACACAGCAAGATATGTTCCGTTCACTTGAGATAATACCACTAGGATTCTGTCAGGTTGAGAACTTGGAGAGCTAATAATCCACTATAGTCCTCTGATGTTGATGACTATTGTATAGATAACGCTGCATATATATCCTCCAGAGAACGAGGATATTCAGACTCTGTTTGAGCAACAGTCTTGCCCCATAAAAGAAAGCATCGCATTCAGTTATTTCAAGTCTCGAAATACTCGGAAGAAACTTGGACAGGAATTTGTTGAGAGACTTCATAAGCAGACATGTCGCTCTAGCTCATTAAGTATACATGTAATTAAAACAAGAGATAAGATCCTAATCGCACCATGCACTTCCATAAGCCTTGGGAATGAACGGAACGAACAAAAGAATTGTGCATCATGAGTTCGACCAAGTGCTATTAAGGAATAGAATATTGTCCATCATAATTCTATATCATCCAAAGAGAAGAATCGGCATTGGTTTTGGTGACGACAATACAGATGCAGAAGTGATTTTAGCGAAGACACGCTGCTGGATAAAAGCATTGAGCATGTATCCATGCAGTTTGTGACGTATTTTTGATTTCCGTATATTCGAAGGCTGGCTGGCTTGGAAATCGAGAGATCTTCTCATGCGTAACACGTTATCTGGATTCGTATTAAATGATAGCCAAATTGAATTTTGTGAGGTTCGAGCGTTTGGGCTGAGAGAGAATCAACGAAGTGGTTTACCAGTGAAAGGTATGTCCAGAAACGGATGAGGAGAAGCCCTTTCATCAATGTAACGATTATAGAGTTGCTTGATACCAAACCCTGTTGCGATGAGATCTTTTGCCTCAGTTTTGAAGTCGGCGTCAACTCCTCGGAAAGTTCTATTAACAGCATTTCCTGTAGCACAAATTGCGATTCTGACACAGTCTGTTCTTGGTGTAATAATAGGCCGAAGACTCACGCGTTGCAACCTTGCTATGAAGCATTGGCGTACATAATCATCTGCTTCCAAACTCGAGATTATTTGCTCACGGAGTGCTTCCAGTACTGGTGAAACAAGCTTCAAACTGACTAGCTGACGAGAACCTGGAATACCTCGATACTGTGACTTGAATGCTTGTTGGACTTGGATAGAAAACGGGGCTTGTTTGGCAGTTATTTCCCTCAGTATAGACTCGTAAAGAGGCATTCTGGTGAAAGGAAGTACTGTTACTAAGGACAGATGATTGCAAGGGTCTAAGCCATACTTCTGGCGCAGACGATTTGTTTGGGAAGCGGATTCTGGGTCAATGGTAATCACGATCAAGACACGACTTTCACGCATGAATGCTTTTCGATCATTCAACTGAAAAAGAGGTCACTTTGCTCTCGTAGCTATGGTTGATGACGATTGGGTAGTTCGATTGAAGGAAGAGTCTCTTGTGCGATTGGAAACTTGTGAGATTGAATTGATGGAGGTGGCTGGGTAGCTGAGTAGGCACGTGACATAAGCTAACCTACTGTAAGATAAGGTTACTTCCCAATTCCCGTTATTGTATACCCCTCACCTATGATTACTCTGCAAATTCAATATTTCTTGGTAAAAAAATGAAGTAAGAAAAGATGACTTCCTATATTCAATTTGATCAGCCGAGTTTTGATCCATTCAATCTGATAATATTAGATACCGGTACTTATCCATTTCTACTCGTAGTCGAGGAAATTTTGATAGATCTTTATGATCACTACAGCTGGTGATCATATTCATGTCAATTGTTGGTTCGTTTGCTTCGTTTGCTTCATTCGTCCTTCGTATATGTCCTCGCCCGTATGCTTGTTGTACACAGTTCTATGGGCAGAAACAAGGATGAGTTCATCCGTATCTAATTCATTCCACTGCATGAACACACCATATTTCATTGGTGGTAGCATCCTCAATACAAAAACGGTCAAGAAAAGAAGACGAATCAAAGCCGACACCATTCTCATATACATATCTAAAATAAAAAAGATTACAATCATTGGTAAATACAAGTACTAGCTTACATTTACCCCACGATAACCCCAGGAAATAGGATGCGGCAAAGCTACCCCGACTTTTCACTGATTCACTATTCGGTATATCATTGAACGAGCTACTCGGAGTATACTGCAGTACAACCTAAGTGAATATGACTTCAACGTATGATTATGTTGTGCATTCATCCCAGCCTTGTAGAGGAGAGCTAGCCTTCGTGTTACTTTATACCGAGAAGTGATATGTGACGTTCACACTTATATTATAAATCTAAAGGATCATCCTCTTGTTGTTTAACCCAGCAGAATCCCAAATCTTCTTTTTGTATAGTACTGGGAATCTTGCACTTCGTATATATATTTGAAAATCCAATCTTATATATAGGATACACAAATTGCCAAGTTGGCAATAAGAGAAAGAAACGAAACCGGAATGGTGCTGTGGAAGAGAAAAATTACAGTTGCTGATGATGTGGTTACATCTGCGGTACATCTGACATTGCGACAATCACTTATACCTAATTTTCTAGGTAAGTTATAATCGACTTGATCATAATTTTGTCTCTTGAAGCAGAAGCTAACTCATCATGCCATAAAGTTACCATTCTTTTCTTCCTCTGGTGACACAAGAAACCTCTCAGCAAACAATGAAATTTAACTAATAAATTCTCAGGGGGTTTGCCTACGGACTCCTCGATGTCTTAAATCCTCATTTCCAATCTTCCCTCAACATCACACCATCAAAAGCCTCAGGTCTATCAGCCGCCTACTTCGGCGCGTATGCACTTTGTCCAACAACAATAAGTGGATGGGTACTTCGAAAATGGGGATTCAGAGTAACCTTCATGACCGGACTTTGTGTCCTTGCCGTTGGTTGTCTCTTGATGTGGCCCAGCGGAGTGAAGCATTCATTCGGTGGATACTGCGGTAGCATGTTTGTTGTTGGCGCCGGACTTTCCACTTTGGAAACCGCCGCAGATCCATTCCTTTCCATCTGTGGCCCTCCCAGATATTCGGAAATTCGACTGAATCTCGCACAAGCAGTGCAGGCCGTTGGTTCTTTCGTAGCCCCTCTTCTAGCCTCTCGTGTATTTTTCGCCAAGACAGTCAACAATGATCAGGGACTTAAGAATGTCCAATGGACGTATCTTGGCGTCGCTGGCTTCGTAGGTTTATTGATTATCTTATTTTATTTGGCGCCAATGCCAGAAATTACAGATGCCGATATGAGTACTCAAGAATTAGAAATTGCCGATTATGACCCAGGACCATTCCGAAGACAATTCAATCTCTTCCTCGCTATTTGGAGTATGTTCTGTTATATCGGTGCACAAGGTAAGCGCAAGCAATTGCATTCGACGACAGTAGTACATACTAACGGACAACAGTTTCCGTCGCCAATTACTTTGTGAATTTTTGCGAAGAAGCAGGCAGAGACGCATCTACCAGCTGTAAGTTTTCCAATTTGACTTCTCCAAACATCTCACTAACTGTCATCAGCCGACATGTTTGCCGCAGGCCAAGGTCTCTATGCATTCAACCGTTTCGTAGCTGGCGGAATCATGACCTTCAAATCCGTCAAACCTCGCTATATCCTAGCAATATACCTCTTCCTCTCATGGGTCTTCGTTCTCTCCGCCTCGCAATCCTCCGGCACGGGCAGCATCGCCTGTCTAGTTCTAGTCCTCTGTTTCGAATCCGCCTGTTTCGCCACAACCTTCACCCTCGGTCTGCGCGGTCTGGGTCGCCATACCAAACTCGGCGGATCACTCCTAGTAGCTGCGATTTCTGGAGGTGCAGTCTTCCCGCCTATGACGGGTGCTCTGGCTACACATTTGCAGAAAACTGGAAGCAAGAAACCTTTTCATATGGCGATGTTGATTCCGATGATGGGGTTTGTCTTGGCGTATATTTATCCGTTGTATGTTAATTTCTATGTTAAGGAGAGGATGGATCAGAGGAGATTGACGGCGGTGGGTATTGAGCTGGTGAATGACAAGGAAACGTTGAAGCAGACGGAGAGTGCTGCTGCGGCTGTGCCGGGTAAGGAGCTTGAAGCTGGCAGTGGAGCTGTGGAAACAGTAGAACGAATATAATGTTGGGGTGTTGGGGTGTCGTGGTATCTGTCTTTTGGAGTTAAAATATTGCTGGTTAGAGGGGTGTCCTAAGATCTTCGCTCGATGCTGGTACTCGGTTTTCTTCAGGTCTACCCAGGCATTAGGTTGGTTGGTGATTGGATACAAACGATACCATATAGTTTGAGAAAGACTCTGTCTATCATATCATGTTCCCTGAGTATACGAGTGCACTGCGATGATCTTATGCCTCAATTACCGAAACATTAGATCCTGCGTCCCTTCAATCTCTGCTTACCTCCTTCAATCTCATACACGTTTGTCATTGAGGTCATGTACCGCTTACAATCGCTACCCCCATTCTCCACGCCTACTCCAACTACTATTCATCTACTCCAGATATCACAATCAAACATCCTTTAGTTCAGGAATCAAAATTCCAGCAAATCTCAAAGAAGAAAACCCTCGATAATCAACGACGTTGTTAAATCGTTAAATTCATCATCACATTAAATTCTCCACTTCCATCCCCACTTCTCAGCTTCTAACAGCAGCCACATACAAAGCATTCACTACCATCCCTACTAGGTAGGTAGTCAGGTCAGAGCTCGTACCCACCCACTGTCACTGTCATCATCATACTCCATGTCATCATATACCGATATGCACCCCACAACCCACATTATAGCGGATATTCCCCGGTACATAAATGATGAGGATAAACCATAACGGGTAGTGGGAAGCTACTTACCTGGGTAATTAGTGTAGAAAATTCTGCTCATTAGTTTGACTCGGTCCAGACTGGTGGGTGGGTACCCTGACATATGAAGATGAAGAGACAATCCGAGGTCACGAAGAGATTGATTGTATCGCAGGAAAAGAAGGAGGGAAGGAAATGTTTATTGATTAGTTGTTATGAACGAATGTCTTATCGATGTAATAATCCAAAAGACGACTTATGATAATACGAGTATAGCATATGTATTGGGTATTTAGATAGAATGATTAGAATCTTTGAACTCGGAAGTTGACGTTCGAATCGATTCGAATCGAGGAGTAACGAGTGATGGTATTTTTGTATTTTGATACAGATACTATGCACGCAAGAGACCATGAACACCATCTAGCTGAACTTCGCAGAAGTGAGTCTGGCGAATATTTTCGATTTTGAATATTTCAAATGGGAGATAGAACAAAATCTCCCGATAACTTTTATTTATCCCTCTTTAACTCCAAATTCAAATCCTTCTCCCGTTAACTTTTATATACAAATAAAATAAATATATCTCTCAGAAATCGAGAACCTCTGCCCAAAATCCCTCGTCTCATATCTATATTTCCTAACTCCAAGTTTCTTCTCAAACCCCATCATCATGACATTGTCCCATAACCATAACCATACCCATTCGACCCAGCATCCCTGTCCTTATCCTCGATATGAGACTCCCTTGCCCCTTCATTCTTCCACCCACATTTACTCTCGATATTCAACTCCACATTCAAATTTAGCAATCTCCTATCCATCCTCTTCTTCAACCTCGAATTCCGCATCGATTTCCTTATCTGATTCGTGCTCAAACGATTCGAATTCTTCGACTGTGTCTTTGTCTTCCTCTTCCAACTATCAATCGATTGATAAACAGATATAAACAAATACCCAATCGCCGCCGTCAAGAAGAGACACCCCAATACCAAAATGAAATTGAGAAAGAATGGTGGTATCGTGCTGTTGTCATGGGTGGGGTTTTGTGAATCAGTGCCGTTTGTGCTGGTAACTATAACTGCTACTATTTCGCTCATGGTTGGGATTGGGATGGGGCTCATTTTGAAAATAGGCCTGCCTTGATGTTGATTAGATATAGTATATGATTGTATGATTCTGTTTGAGGATACATATGTACATACGACGTTCGGATGACCGGGTATTTTCAAGTGACTTTGCTATAAAGATGAAGGGGTTTAGGACGTCTTGGTTACAATTATTATCCAGGAAAGGATCGATTTTTCACATGAAAGAAATTTCACCGGTTTTATATATGAAGAGAATAACGCTATTACCAAACTTGATCTGAAATTTTTTGCTGGTCTGGTGTGTGTTCCAAGTACAAAATGGTGTCATTGTGTGTGAAGGTAAAATAGACGTTTATGTGGATAGTAACTAAGTAGTATCATCATAGTATAACCTACGAAATCCCACTACCGGTATCTAAAATATTTCCGTTACCGGAATCATACTTCTTGGCAGGTAAACCTGATATTGCAAGAAGATTGAATGTTCTAAGCATATGATACTCGAGTACATATAAATATACTGAAGATTTCGATATTTCAGAAAGAAAGATTTCTATGTTTTAGATTGATTAAAAAGTCCTTGTATAATGAAAAGATTGAGAGGTCTTAGAATTTCATAACTTCAAGTGGAAAGAAGAAGTTAATTTATTACTACTCAAGAGCACCGATACTATTGTAGCTAAAACGAAAAGAAAAGGATGCTTACTGTATGTTCTTTGAATCTTATACCAAACCAGATAATCCCAAGTTCCCAATGGTTTGAAGGGAAGAATTTATTCTTTTGGATAGATAGATAGTATCGATCATCCGTTGCCCAAACAGATTTTTACATATCCATATACGAGTATTCTTCAAAATAAAGTGTACTTCATTTAACGGAATCCTCGACCTCGATCTCTTTCCAAGTAAACCTTTCATCCGTGTTCTTCTCTCCTTCTCTCCTTCCTCAACCGTACACACGTCTCATCCTCTGAATTCGTGTTCTTTATGGTGTTCCGCTTCATAAAACAAATCCGAGTACATGCATTGCCCCGCCAATTCCTAATGCTCTATGACGTCCTGCGTGACCCAATCCGAACTCGAATCTATCCATTTGATTTTCATCTTTGAGCTCTTATACACTCCGTATGAACCTCATATAATCCCATGCATATGAATCGAATATGAATCGAATGATCTCAAATTCATCAATTCAAGAATCATTTCAATCATTCTATTCCTTTACAACTTCTTTTCAAGTCAACTTGAATGCCTTCAATATTAGTGCTTGAATAATATCAATATTCTATCACCTAGTAAGTAATTTGAATGATTTCAGTGCCTCAATGTTTCAATATTCAATAAATCAGATTGAATAATATTCAAAAGCCAATAAGGATCAATCGTTTATATTAAGTCAACTGCCCCACATATGGACCACCCCCCCTTTTGGACCACCCTAAAAAAAAAGACCCCCATTTCCCAAACCCTATATTCAATAATTATCCACTTTTAATAAAATCGCCTATACCACTACTTTCAATTGTATTATTGCTATCTTCTGTAGTAATTCTATAGTCTCTAGTTATGATTTGTGTCTCCCTAATAGCTCTAATCTCTGAAAACCTGATATTTGGATTAATCACAATTTTACACCTTTTTTTTTTATAGATATAATTGTCTTTAATTGATATTCTAATTGCTTTATTTGTTTCTTTAATACCATAAGTTTATAATCCTTGATATCAAAAGCTTTGATAATTTTATGAAAAAGCACACGTTTTGTTAGCAAATCAGGCTCTTTTTCTTGAGTTATAGTTGACACATATAATCAAAGATCAAATGCTTTTTGAGGGGTTTTCCATATAATAGCTAATACCCCTATATTCTATTGAAACTAGGGATTATTATCAGAAGCTAGGTTAGGTATTAAAATCTCTTGATTACTATTCTTGAGTAATAATTGATTCATAAAAGATTTAATACAGTTTTTGGGCTATAAATCTAATGCTTTCCATTCAGTTTTAATGTTATAAACTATTAGAGCTTCCATTTTAGCCTTCTGATAATAATATAAAAAGCTACGCTTTCCAATTGATATAAAATAAAAATAAAAATTTAAATTATTCAATATATATCAATATATATTTTTCAAAGATGAAAAAACTGATAAATCTAATAATTATAGGATGTGTAAGATGTATAATAATAGGAATAAAAGATATATATTGTAAAAGAGTGAAGGTAGGTGTGAAATCATAGGAGTAGTAGTAGTAGTAATAGTATTATTTTACATCAGGAGAGCAGCTTAGGGCTGCCCTCAGAACCTCCCTAAAGGTATGCAGATATTCTAAGCTATAGTTTTATAATACATGAAATAAGAGTGCCTTAAAAAGAAAAGTGAAAGCTTTACGGCCATTCCTGATAATTGTGTATTACCTTCCAATTTGTACATTCTCTCCTCCGCCGATTGAGGTGATTCTACTGTTTTATCTAGTGTAGATAGTTGTACCTATTTTGTAGACTTGTTGTTGTATATATTCTAATAATTCAGTAGGCTATTTCTGATATAGCAATTAGAATATTTGTTATATTCTGGGGAGTGTTCTCAGATATACTTTCATATATCTTGTTGGTGTTTAATCAGGTTTTTTATACCTATTGATGGTATTGTTTCTCTGTATACACTTTGCAGAAGGAGTTGGTGGTTTCGTTTGTGTTGTATATTGCAAATCGATTCTGGTAATGGGTGTGTATTGTCACAGGTTTTTAGATTGTTTGTTTGTAGAATGCAGGTTTGCAGCCCTTTACTTTGGATATATATCTTTATAGAACTTTATGAGCTTTAGCAGTTTTACAAAGTCTATAGGATTGTTTAAAACTTGATATAGATATTGAATACCTTCCTCATTTATTAATAATAATGTAAGGGACTTGTTTGATCATTATTCAAATATACTTCTTGTCTTCCAGCAATAAATTAGGTAAGCAAGGGTTTTAGGCCTTTTATAGAAGTATTCCGTATCTCCTGTATACCCGAATTTCCTGTGATATTATTCGAAATCTCCATATAAGGTTCGGATAGCTATCAATCTATATAGGACTACTTGTGGGAATAGGAGCTCTGGCAGTAGTTTCATTTTATATACCGGGTTCTACTATTTGTATCATAATGAAAGGGCAGGTTTGTATAATATCCACTATTATTAGCAGATCTCTTCTTTTAGGATATATATAATCAATCTTATCCC